ACTGGTCTTGTCTCCGCATCCTCCTGTAGTTTCCTGTAGGCGGCCTTTAGTGAGTGGTTCCTGCTGGGTCCCTCCTTTACAAATGTCCTCTGCACGGGCTATGTACAGCCAGGTGAAGATGTCACTATTGCTTTTACAACATCTGGGTTTGCAAAGGGATATGGTGCACATAAAGTGGATTTATACCCTTTGTGGCTATCGAGGGATATACTACAATGAAAGATTTTGCTCAGAGTTCAGCATTAAAGTTTATAAGTGTTCAGTATCTCTAAACTTTTTTTTGGGGGGGGGGCTAGACTGGGGAAGTGTTAGAACTGGCTTGGAGAAGTTATTTCCCCTTAGTTTGAAGGGATTTCCTCTCACTTTATCACGTGCCTCTGGCGACCCCTGGAGTTGGGAACAAAAGGGTGCAGGGCAACGAGGAGCACGAGTGCCGTAGGCTGGAAACACCCACTGCGTGGTAACAACAGTGAAGAGAAGTCAGGAAGCCAAGGTCAAATCCGGTCGGGCAGGCGAGGTACAAAATTGTAAGGCAAACTCAATATCCAGGAAACAAGCTGAGGTCAGGGGCTGGCAGCAAGCAGAGAATAGTCCAGAGCAATCCGAGTCAAGGCAGGCTAAGGTAACAGATACCGAACACAGGCACAAACACTAAGCTGACAAGACCATCAGCAATGCCAGAGAGGCTGGCTCCTCCTTTTATAGTCCCAAGGCTCACAGACAGCTACCTCCCTTCCTGTGCGTTCTCCCGCTCACCTTGCCGCGATTCTCGCGCATGCGCAGTTTGCCGTGATTCTCGCGCATGCGCAGTTTGCCGCGATTCTCGCGCATGCGCAGTTTGCCGCGATTCTCACAGTTTGCAATCGTGCCTTTACACACTTCCTCTTGTGCCTCAAGGCCAATAAAGGGACAATGATTGTCAGGATTGTTTTGCTATTATTGTCCCACCTGGGAGCTATCCCTTTATTGGCCTGGAGGCACAAGAGGAAGTGAGAGGAAATCCCTTCTAACTAAGGGGAAATCACTTCTTAATTGTCACTGGAAACATTTCTCCAAGCTAGTAGATGAAGAACTGCTGAACTGATCTTTCCCTTGCGATCTTGTACAGGACAGGAAGTTAGGAGAAACTGAGCTGAGAGAGTTGGAGCTGTTTGGAAACTTGATGACTTGAATTTATTTGTATGTTTGGTTGTGCAGTATATCCGAGACAGGTTTTTGTCTGTAACCAATTCTTGGTTTAACATCAGACTTGGAAAATATACATTAAGGCCTTCATAAGTAAAGAGAAAGAATCACAGTGGACTTGCAGCAACACATATGCTGCAAAGTGACAGGTCATCTTTAAAAAAATGCATTGGCTTGTATGCTCGCCCTAATGAAGACATTGGTCATTGTTTAGCTCCTCGGGACATTTCTCAGAGGAATAGTGTGGCGGGGAATATGCTAAGATGGTTTTGAAATGAGAAGGGATTAATGCCGCTCCAAGCCAGTCATTTGTCCCATATTTCTAAATGTCAGGAGTTATTTGTAATATGTGGTTTTATTTTTTCTAAATGAATGCAAAATTCTGGAGAGGCCGATCTATTATTTGAATCATGCACGCAGTAACATTTCCAGATCTACTCCAGCTCAATATCAAAAACTTTCTGCCTAATCTACATCTTCTCTCTGTGTTGGGAGTGCAGTGATTTGCATCAAAGCAAGTTGACTTATTTTCTGTTTATGAGGCTCTTCCCAAAGTTTCAGTTTTCTGCTAGACATGTGCACCGGCAAATATGTGTTTATGTTAGTTTCGTTTTGATTCGGATTTTGCGTTATTTAGTTTTTCCGGATTCGGGTCCGATTCAGATTCGGATGAAATTCGGTAGCGGAAGTCTGTACGAAGTTTCATTTCCGTATCGTGTTTGTTTCGTTGCAGCAAAGAGACATTAAGAAAAAAAAAATGTAAAGGGTTTCTAAACCCTCAGTTTTTTTTTCCTATATCTACTGCCATCAAGCAGTAGATATAGGCAAAAACTAAAAAAAAAAAAGGGTTTCTAAACCCTCAGTTTTTTTTGCCTATATCTACTGCCATCAAGCAGTAGATATAGGCAAAAAGTAAAAAAAAAAAAAATCCTGCTTCAACAGCGGTTTAAACTTACCCTGTTTTCGCCGTGCGCTCCCGCCTGAGAATCCAAAACTGCTCGGGCGGCCGCAAATCATCTTAGGGCGGGTGCATGCACAGTTCGGATTTTCGGCTGGGAGACGAGCAGAGACGCAAGGTAAGTCTATGGACGCGTGCACCCGCATGCAGACACCGCGGGATCGGAAGTGCCAGCAAGGACAGAGGAGTCAGCGCTGGATCGGAGAGCCGCCGCACCGCTGGAGGGACAGATGAAAACATCAGGAAAGAAGAAGAAGATCGGATTAAGAAACATCATTTAAGGTAAGTGCTAACATTAACATTGGGGGGAGGGGACATTTTTTTTTACTTTGTCACTTTAAATGTCAATTTGCTGCATGGAAAATGTGTAAATAAACGAAAATACGTACAGACTACCGTTAATGAATTTCATCCGACATTTCGTTTTCGGAAATTCGGATTCGTTTTCATTCGTCATTTCTGTAATTCGGAAATTCTGATACATCCAAATTTTTGAATAACGAAAATTTGTCTGAAAAACTAATTTTTCCGAAATGAATCGCACATGTCTATTTTCTGCTCCTACATTTGGTGTTCCATGCGTTATGCAGGCGAGGACTTTGGATCAATGAAGGTCTAGTGGTTTAGGATTACTATAAGGAATAATATCTTGATTTTGTTGTTCCAAGTCCCATTCAACTTCTGGATAGAGTGGGTAAGTGACCGGCTGGTGGGAAATCCAAAATTTTTTAGTAGTTGCCAATACAGGAGGTAAGGGGAAATCTTGCAATGGGGACACCCCACCCCAGCAGGAAAGGATTAGAACCCTTTGTCAGAAAGGGATCGAGAACCCTTTAGAACCCTTTGGCACGAAAATCGATGGATTAGTGGTCATTTCGTCCGAAAAAAAAATTGCAACATGAACACTGCACATGTGCAAACAAAATTCCGTTCTGTCCATTGACGGAATTCGGCGAGTTAGTATTGCTGTGATTTTATTTCTGACTGTGGCTGCGTTGGAAGATTTTATTTTCAGTACCTGTGATTAGTGCCCCTAAAGCTGGCCATACACTCTGTGATTTTCGTTCGGGAATTTTCGTTGCTGCCAAGAACCCTCTTTTGGTTCTAGCTCAAATAGCCCATCAAGCACAGACCAATGTCAATTTCGATAATCGTTCCTTAGCAATACTATCTTACCGAATTTTGTCAATCGACAGGACAGATTTTTCGTTTGCGCCTGTGCAGTGTTCATGTTGCATTTTTTTTTAATTACGAATGCCACTAATCCATCGATTTTCGTATGAATCGAAAAAAGTTTTCCAGCCTAGCCCTTCGAGAAAATCTTCCCATCAACTGATTGATTATCATTTGAAAGACCATTTGTGGATGATTTCCGAACGATAATCGATAGATATATGGGCACCTCAAGACAGGAAGTCCTTCAAACAAAGTGCCACATGGCAAAACAACTCACAGTGGTCCTAACCCTTCCACGCTTTACTAAAGAAAAGGCCTCTATTGAAGAGATTTTCTATGCCTCTGTTGAAGAGATTTTCTCTTGCTTCCTGTTCCGGTGACACAACAGAAAGTAATGAGAGGACTCCCAGACAGGGACCCTACCCTACTTTGTCCAAAACTGGCTGGGGTTCTGTAAGCATTTAAAGAGAAAGCTACAATAGTGTTGGTCAATTTTTTTTTTAGGTATACAAGTTTTAAAACTGATGGTTTATAATGTTTTGGTGCAGTGGTGAGTGAATTGGGGACATGTGAAAGACGTGGCGAGTGCAAGCAGGATGTGGGGGCCTAGATGTGAGTGGGGTTTAGTGTGCAGGAGTGGCGCAGAGGGGAGTAAGATGGGGGTCAGCTGCAGTGGGCGGTGAGAGCGCAGGGAAGTTGACATGAAGGTGCAGTGGTGGAGAGGTTTAGGCACAATGATGATGGGGGGGCTGG